GTGCTTGTCTGTGTGTAGTTATGCAAGGCATTTTTTGTGTACTTTTATCTTACTTTGCTCGCTTCCTTTTGCATTTAACCTAAATTTGTTCCATTTTTCACGCATCTGACTCACTTTTTGCAACTTAATTATATTAAAAAAAAAAAAAAATCCATTTAAATTTATATTCATTTTATAGGTCAGTAGTGCCTATATATCTATGTACTATATATATATATGTATATATTAAACTTTTCACACAATTTTTTATTCTACATACAAATACAGTTGTTGCTTTTTTTACATATACATTCATATATTAATTTCATTTCCCGTTTACTTAACCTGACTTAAGTAGTTTGCTTAAGCTTTGTTGCTGTAATATTTTAATTTCGTGCTTGTTTTTCGGCTTGCTCACAATTACACAGGCTGTAGCACTGGCGTTTACACTGACAAAAACAAAAACAATGTTGTAAAATTCGCCTCTGGTTTGCGTGTGTGTAGGTGTGTAGTGCTCTTTTTCTTGAAGCTGCAAAGTAGGCGTGTTTAACTTACAACGCATGCGCAGTTAAATTTTGTTTTTGTTTTGCGAATGCCTTGCTTTGCATGTTGCTRTCTCTGCTGTTTTTCTTTCGAACATATAAAGTTGGTTTATTTCTAATTACATAATAATTTACGCATTTGTTTATGAATTTTTACAAAGTTTATTTTCACATTTTKGTTTTTGCAAATTTTTGTGCTCTGAAATTTGCTGCTAAATTTAGGTTATACTTRTATTTTTTGGGTCTTGTTTTATGTTTTTTGCTTTGCATATTTTCTTTGCCTTTTTTGCGCTTTGCATTTGTTTGCAGTATTTCAAGCTTTTAAAATAATATCATCGTTTCAATAGTGTGTATGTATGTATGTTTGTATGTTACTATGTACTTTAGAATTAGTAGCTATTTATACATATGCTTGTAGTTATTTATATTATTATTATTTTGTTTTTGTTTTTTATGCATTTATTATGTATGTATATTTTTACTATTTAAATTAACTGATATTGCCACAATTTGTTTAAATATTTTCATTGTTTTTTATTTTATGTTGCATGCATCTTTGTTTGCTCAGTTACCATATATTTATTTTATATGTATGTATGTATATTTTTATGCTTTTACACCGTGTACTTGCTTTTAAGTCGCATTTATTAAGGAGATCAACAACTTTCTGCGTAATACGCTCAACTTGAACTTTGACTGCATGTGTATATAATATATGTATAAGTGGGGAGTTGTTGTAGTAGTTTTTGAAAGAGTTATACATTGTTTGAGAAGAAAGCATTGCTGAGTGCTAATAGAAATTTCAAAAAATATACGCAGAGACTATATTTGTGAAAGCTTGTGAAATAGCTTTTAAAAAGCTTTAAAAGTATAACCAATAACTTTGTTGTGAAAGCTCATGAAAAAGCTCTGCAAAAATCATAAGCGCTCCTTTATAAAAAAAATATGAAACATATATGTGTTATCTTTATTGTGTTAATCAAACAGCTATAGCCGCAATTCTCAAACGGAGCTTTAATTTATCTAAAAGTTTTGAGAATTATATAATTTTTGCAGCTTACAATTTTTTTTAAGTATGGTATAAACAAATGTGTTCTATTTTCATACAGAAATTCAATAACTTTTMGCAATAATTACTATTTACAATTTGTTCTAAGTACTCAAAAGGTGTTTTGTATCTGCAAGTTTGTGAATTTCAATATTTTTTGGCTTTAAAAGTTCCATTGTAGAGCTTTAGTCACGATCTTCTGCAGTTTTTGGTTTGGACACACAAATCGCTTAAAGAACTCAAGCGCTGTAAAGATAAGAGAAAAATTATAAATAATTTATTATTAAATTTATTTACTAAATAAATAATTTTTACAAAAAACTTTTAAAATAAAAAGTAAAAATTTAAACAATTTCTAAAATCAATAATTTTCAACGAAAAACTACAAAAAATGTTATATTAACAGGGTTATATTATCAGCTGATAATGCTAAACATTAAATGTTTAGAAAATGTTAATGCTCTGTTACCAAAACTATTTTATATTTTTGCGCAGAGTGATCAGTTTAGACAAAAATAAAAAGTTAAAAATTTTTATCTCAATTTAAAATAGTTCAAAATTCAAATACTTACACTTTTGAGGCGAAATAGGCAGGCCAGAATTTTTTTCAGAGCCTAAGCAAATACTGCTGCATCTCCTTCTATTTTACAAACTTTTAATTGCGTGAAATTTTATAAGATTTGTAAGGATTTAAATTTTGCTGCACTTAAAGTCCGATTACGTATGTCTATGAGGCGATAGGCGTTGGTTAATCAAAGTTATTAGATGTGTGTGTGTGTGTCTTGATAAAGCTGGTACACTGCGGTTTGCTGCCATATTTGAAGTAGTAGTCAAAGTTCTGTAAGATGAGGGTATCGTCTATTTATTTTTTGGGGTATGATGTATTCGCCAGCCATTTTGCACCAGTAGTGGTTGTGCATGCGTTGTTGTAGCGTACAGCTGCCGCTGCTTGTGGGGTTGAGGACGATTTTTCACTGACGCTTATGCAATTTTTGCTAGCACGAGTGTTCTTTGTTTGCATTTTTGAGATAATGGTGTGCTGATTTTAAATTTTTTGCTTTTTTTTTATTAGTATTTTGGTGCTTTTGTTGTTTTTTTGCTTTTTAACTACTTTAGTTTACATATTTGTTGTTGTTGTTTTGCTATGTTGATAGTGTTGGTGTGGACACCAATGCGGCTGTTGCCGCCGCCGCCGCTGCTGCTGCTGCTGCTGCTGCTGCTACTTCTGTTGCTGTCGCCACCTCCAACGTTGATTGCCCATGACTTTGACTATAGTCCTGACTCTCAACTACATCGGTTAATTACAAATGCTGGCCATAATACTCGGCGGGTGGATAGTGTGGATAACCTTGATGGAAACCAGGATCACCGGGTGGACGATGCATCATATGCGCTTGACTATCCATCATATATCCCATGGCGTCATGACCGTACGGCGATGGACCCGGATGTGGCGTGTAGACTGAAAGGAGAGGAGAAGAGAATAATAAAATTATAAAAAATTTGGAAACGTTTAAAGGATATTTTCTAAAAGTTGTTAATACTAAAAAGTTT